TCTATCCCACTGCACTGGTGACCAGACGAGGTGAAGAGATGTAACCATTGGTATCCACAACTTGCGACCGTCCTACTAGGTACGATAGGATCCAAGAATAAAACGGATTTGGAACACCGTACTTAATTTATATAGCAGCTTCTTGTGTGGGACTCTATCAAACGCTTTTTACATGTCGAGGAAGATGACAATGCACTGAAGACCTGAGTCAGTTGCTTCAATTACATGGTTAAGGAAGTTTACTTGACAGGTAACACACGAGCAGGACTTCAGAAAGCCATGTTGTGAAGGTGAGAGAAGTTTGGACGCTAATGGGAACGAAATCAAATGTCCATTAACAATTCTCTCTAGCATGTTTGAGTGAATGGCTGTGTGACTAATGGGGCGGTAGTTCCAGTTGTCAGTTTTCGACCCGGACTTATGTTTCGGTACAACCGTAGCCGTTTTCCAACGTTCGGGATATTGACCAGACTGGAGAGACAAAGAGAAGGTATTGAATAATATAAGGGGGATATCATCACCGTGTTTGACTAAAGCAGAAGAGATCCCATCGGGGCCAGGTCTGTAGGATGGTCATAGACATGTAAACATACGTTTTATCGTAGCGACACTAAGCTCGATCGCTGAGACTTGTTCAGGGAAGTTAAACGAGGTAGACAATTCCAGGGTTTCTTTTTCAATTTTCAAGGATTTAGCAAAGTATGAGTTAAAGGCTTTTGCCATAGCAATTGGGGAATAAATGCATTCGCCTTCAGGCATGACAATGTGGGAGGGTAGGTCAGTTTTGCCGTCTCTGCTTTTTTCAATAATGCAGTCAACAGTTGACTTGTATCACTACTATTTACAGCCCGTTGTTCTTCTTGCATGAGACTGGTGTGGTGTTTCATGTCCGTCTCAATTATAAGGCGTTGTAGTCTCAGTAATACGCGGAAGTCGTAAGTACGTTCATATGTTCGAGTTAGCACTCGTATTTTCCGCCTGTCCTTTGAATTGTTAACTTACTTGGAAGAGGCTCTCGTATTATCACGGGAGGCAAGTATGCTTAAGCAGATAATCACATTGTCATAGAAGATGTCAGAGGCTCCCTTACTATCAGAGCGGAGAAAGTTACCCAATTAACATTTCGCAAGAAGTGTGGAACCACCGCTGACCTCACATGCGACGACAGCTATAATCTTACATCCGGCTATTTTGTGATCACATCCAGGGAGACCATCAATTACATCAGTAGCTATCGGGGCGTGCCTGAGGTAAAACGTAGGTCCAGTATATTTTTACCCCTGGTAGCCACGCGAACATGTTGCTCCCAACCACCAGTGATGATGGAGGTTATGAACTTAGCGTTTCGCCTTTGTTACTAAGTTTGACCAACAGATATCTGATAGGTTGAAATCTCCATCTACGACTTTATCAAAGTAACTAAGTTCCAATATGTACTTGAAGATGTCAATCAACTGCTTCTCATCACTGAAGCTGATTCCAGGTGAGCGGTATATACAGCCTACAAGCGTTCGCTTAATACCGAAGGACAAGAGAGGGTATATAAGTGGAAGTGTGAATTCAGAGCCAAGAGGGTTTCGCGAGTAGTAACTTATGCAACTACATCCTCTGCCTTGCTTTCGATCACTTCTAATAAGATTGTGACCTTCGATAGAAAGCACTTTGCTGGGCATGGAATCATGACACTAGGTTTCAGTGAGTAAAATGATATCAGGTTTATTCAGGCATATGAAGGTACGGAGTAAATAAAGCTTATTCAACAGAGAATGCATATTATGTATCATCAGTCTTAAAAAGTCCTAGCGGTGTCCGTCATTCCACCCAGTATTTACTCTTGCAATCACATTAGTTCTAGAGCCTTCCGCAGCAAATCCCTTACCGTGAGATTCGCCAGTCCCATCGGGATTAGAGGGGGTGGGGGAATGCAAAAAGAATGCTGTGCTAATTTGGGGCGATTGAGTTTAAGTAGATAGGGTGTTATTGCCGAAGGACTCGCAGAAGGCATTGTGAGAGGAGGAGGCGAAAGAGAGTATGGAAGGGGGCATAAATAAGTGGTCTGTGTTTCAGCAAAGCCATGTACAGGCCTTCCAGGTGAACAGCCTTGGCACATCGCCGTAACAATGGTAAAGTGTGGCTTGCCACTCTGTGTAGCAGCATTATTATTCACTACTGACATTGGGACACGGGAGTCACCTTTCCAGCATGAAGGCCTCTGTTTAATCTGACGCTTAGGACGTAGGCCATGACCACTGCTGCTATGTGTAGTCATAATGTCAATTGGCCCTAATGTACCTTCACTGGAGCTATCGATAGTCCGATTTGATGTTTTTGGACTTGTATCTGTTTCAGTAGTGGTGTGGGGATTGATACCAATCCATACTACTTTGTCAGAACGTGATGCATTGAGTGAATCTACACTATTTCCTATGTCCACATGACTGATGTGGTGTGGAGGCGTGAGCATCTCAATTTCCGCTACGCTGTCGCCAATGTTAGCATCGCTTGTGCGGAGAGTGACCTTGCCAACATTTTCTGCGTTTTTACAGCGGGAGAACCAATTACTGTTGAATGACCTCCTTGGCACTCCAGGATGCGCGCATAGAGGATGACTCTGCTTCGACTCAGGCGAAACATTAGTTGCATTTATGCGTTGAAGCTCACGTTGAAAAATTGACCTGTCTTCGAATAGAATAACTGCAAAATTCCGGAACGAATCTTAAAATATTTTGGCTCTTGATACACTCACGAGACTCGCTACGAAACCTAAACAGAGTCGGACATGGAAAACGTAAAGATTTTTTCCTCAATCTTCTACAATTAACATCGGTCTCAACGATGTTGCACACTATGTTGAGGGCGATGGTATATTTTCTTCTTCTGCATCTTTGGATAGCTTCAGCGGCGACTGCATTTAGGAAGTTTAATGCTCCGATTTTGAGCTGGATTAGCCGGAGGCTGAATTATGTATTAAGCTGATATAAGGATATCCCCGAATGGGTCAAACAATTTTAGTTTCTCATTTTGTTCGGCTAACTGTTTCTCCAACGTTTTTTATTTTGGCTGATAGTGGAGATATAAGGCCGACAACACTAACTGAACTTTCTGTCACTTGTCTTTTCGACCCATTTACCTGCTCTTCCATCCCAGGCGATACGGAATGTGTGCAACAGGGCACTGGTTCCTCGGCACTCGTGACCGCAACGTTATTGCTTACCGTGATTTTTCGGTTTTCCACACTCTGTTTCCTCATTGTACGAGTGTTAATGGCAGTCATCTATATTTTAATTGGGAAGATAAAAGCTATCTAGTATATATGCTATAGCCCCGCGTGAATTCTATTCAGGTCTCCTCCAATAGGGCCGGACGGATTGGTGGTACCTAGTTAACACGTGCTCTGAGTTGTAGCGCTGCTTGATTCAGGTCTATGCAAGCTTGGATGCGACTTATCGACTAAGCTGCAGCTGTGACGTTCACTTTGCAGCTGTGTGTTTGCAAACTGTCATGTCTGGCGTGTCAGTCGAATGGTGTAAAGATTTCATAGTATTGCGTGGACAGGATATTGTCAGGTGGCCCAGGTCTAGACAGGAGAACGATTAGGGTTCTCAACCAAAGCCTTTGGTTCAAAAACCTAACCGTAAGGCAGCGGGTTTGGTGTTTGGCTACAAGGAATCCGTTTTAAGGAATAAGGTACCACCCTCATTCCAACCCCCAACCTGGAGGACCAGGAGACTGGGTGTTTCTGGCCTCTAACCATTGACCAATCTGTTATGGGTGGCTCTGAAGGTGCAAAAAGTACCACCTAGCATAGCTCAATGGATCCCTGTCGCACGCAAACCATCGCACCACGGTAACGTTTAGTCTCATTGCGACGGGAATGACCTTAACGCTGATGCCGGCATCTGCCACCTTTTTGCGCCCAGTTTTGCCACAACACGAACAATTACAGGGCAATCTGAGACGATGAATGACCACTCAGAAACGGTACTATGACGCGTTGCATGGTTACTGCCTGAGCTATCAGTGCGAAAGAGAATGTGGATTGAACCTTTACTTGATAGGTGTGGTGACTGCGTGGGTCAGTGCCAGGTCATAAGAAATAAACGTTAGAGGCAAAACGTTCAGAAGAAATGGAGTTCATTTGAGACGACACCAGAGACAAGAATGTGGATTGAGAGTGAAATGGCAGATGGCGTAGGGCAACGAAACCACGGCCGCAGACGCAGCGAAGACGATGCGGAGTGGCAAGGTGTACGGGTGGATAGCAATATGAAGGCGCAAGAATACGAAAAAGGAAGGATGTGATGGTAGTATCAGATCAGAGTGAGCAGATGGACCAACCGAGCGATCCAAACAGCCAATGGGAGGCGGACGTAAAGGATTCGATTACTGAATTTGGATTGGACGATATTCGTGTGAGTGAATCAATGTTTGACTGAAGCAAAGGAGGAATCTCATCGACTCAGAAGGGTCGTTAGTTATGGACTTTAACCTGCGGTTTATATCGGGGCTCTTGGCTTGCTAAACATGCTGTAATTTTCGTTCAGCTGTCTTTGCCGAATAGAAGCTTATCCCTGAAGGACTGGATTCTGTAACATTCCAGATTTTTCTTCGATTCCATTCGCGCCCGGCGTTTTGGTACATCTGATCATCCGGTTCATTGCTTACACGATGCTTCACCAATACTTTGTTTCTTTCACGCACACAGAACTCAACATTTTGTTTTCTTGCAATTCGTCTTATCACACTCAGCTTCCCGTTTTTTTTCGCCCATACATGATCATGCCTACCTATGCGTGTCTCGCATTGCACGAGAATGAAGTATTTATCTATTTATCTCAGCCGCACTCATCAATACGGTGCACGACTATTCATCTGGAGACTATTACATAACTAGATTTTGCTTTTTCATTATCGTATTACTGATTGGTGCACTACCCATCACAATCTTGTCCGAGCTTTTGCACCACCCCCTCGCTTGTACTTTGTTTTCATTTCCATAGGTCGGTCAGTCACACTCAGGGTTCTTCGGTATCGTGGAGCGCATTATCTCAGCTGCCGTTCCAGCCGTGTGGTTTGATCGTGATGAGGTGTTTGATCGTCAGCTCACTGCGAAACGACTTAGAGATCACGTTGCCCGTACAGACGCAGAACCATTGCTGATATTCCCCGAAGGGACCTGTATTAACAATACTTCAGTAATGAAATTCAAGAAGGGTTGTTTTGAGATCGGCGCCCCAATACACCCAGTGGCCATCAAGGTACCCTTATTGTTCATGCCGTTTTTTGTATCTAGTCACTGGCTTCTTTTCCATTCGTAATACCCAGTAAACCATAATATCCTTGTTCCGCATTCCTGTGTTTTACTGCCATTTGCGATTTGCAGTCACCTGGTGTGACAGTCCGGCATTTTCAGTGTCTGGTTTCGAACATCTAATTTCACCATTTCATCCTCCTACTTCTGTCATAGCAGCATTCTTAGCTTCTCGTTGCAACGGAGCTGTGCTACACAGCAGTATGATATCCACCTAGATTATGTTCCTCATGAACTAATCACGTTATCTGTCTTCTTCATTCATCGCTCCACTGCGTTCTTTCTCAAAGTTACTTTCAGTTTCTTAATTAATCCCTCCTTATCGTAACTCAATGCGGCTTTCTGGATCCACTTCGCTATGATGATAAGTATTAATACCGAAAACCTAACGAACTAGAATTTGGGTAAATTATCCATCATCATCGTCGTTATACACGTTAGCTGCAGGTGGTAAACACCTCAGCTATTGTGCCGCAATACAAAGGACAAGAAAAGGAGAACAAACAGTGGCACGCCGGCTGAGTCCCCAGTAACGGATGGGCATCGTTCCGGTGAGCCAGCAACTGGCTATAGTTCCGAAAAAGAGAGTTATATTATGCCTAACGAGATCGTGATTGAAGGGGGATGCTAAGCAGGAGGGGATGGACAAACGAACTCGCAACACAAACGCCATTGGATCCGGCTCCAATCCATATCAGCGAGTGTGTCCAAACAAACGTGTTCACCGTCCTTAGGACCCCAGTCAGGCAGTCGGGATGCACCAACCGACGCCAACTTCGAAGTGAGGGTTTTCATCTCTCTCTCTCCTCTTCCAACCGCACCCACAACACGCAAACAATGCACGTCGTGGGAGTCGGTTTGCTGGCATGCGCAACACGTGGCCCAGCCATCGGAGCCTGGTGCGTGATATAATGGTACTGAGCGGTTCACTCGCTCTTTCTGCACCAAATACGCGACGCCGAACACGCTCGTTGTTCACGCGGTGCTCCCACCAGACATGAGCTAAGCTGCGATGATCGAATATGACGAGCTTCTTTATGTCTGTCGACCTGATGGGCCAGGTTTCACAACCATATAGGAGAGTTGAACGGACGACTGCGTTATAAACTCTGCCCTTGAGGGCGAGAGTAATGTCGCGTCTGCGCCACAGGTGGCGGAGATTGGCAAAAGCACCTCGAGCTTTTGCAATACAGTTCGTAACCTCATCTTCAATCCCACGGGTGCTAATATAGCTGCCCAGGTACTTGAATTCCTGAACGACTTCTAGCAGATCACCACCAAGTGTTAGCGCAGGGTTGGGTCCCTGCCAATCTTGGAGAAGTACTTTGCATTTCGATGAAGCAAAGCATAACCCAAAACGACTGAGAGCCAATGCTAATTGGTCCGATGCTGCTTGACACGTTTGGGAGCTCTCACAGATGAGGACAATATTGTTCGCATACTCAAAGTCAAGAAGTCGCTCACCAGAGAGTAACTCCACGCATTCTAGGTCATGTCCACCGACCGCTGTTTCCATGACTTCAACAATAGCGGTTAAAGAGGAAAGGTGACAGCGGGCAACCTTGTCTCACACCGCTGGTGATACTGAAGGATGGCGACAGTTTGCCATAAACTCTCACTCTGCCCGAACTATGCGTGTACAGCGCTTTGATAATGTTTACATATTTATCAGGCACACCTTTCCTCAGCAGACAGGTCCAAAGGGCACGTCGATCGACTGAGTCGAAGGCAACTTTTATGTCAAGAAACACGACAACGGTGGTTTGCCGATAAACATGGCGGTGCTCCAACACTTGACGCAATGTGAAGATGTGGTCGATGCAGTCCTGACCTCGACGAAATCCGGCTTGCTGTTCACGAATCTGGCTTTCACGAGTGCCAGTCAGTCTGTGGAGGATGACAGAGGAAGCAATTTAGAGGCAATTGAAATCAGACTGATCCCTCTATGATTGCCGCACTCCAAACGGGAGTTTCTTTTGAAAATTGGGACATTGACGGAACGGCTCCAGTCTATCGGGACAGTCTCCTGCTCCCAAAGTTTTACTAGCAACACGTGTAGATCATCTGCTAGAGCAGGTCCCCTGAATTTGACGAGGGCTGTGGGAATTCTATCTGCCCCTGCGGCCTTATGCAATTTCAACAGTCTGATCTTACGTTCGACTTCTGCGCGTGAGGGCGGATCCAAGGAGACGGCCCAGGGAGAAGGGCGCTCAATGCCCGAAGAAGAAACCGATAACTCCGGTTGGTTAAAGTGCCTTGCAAAGTGTTCAGCCCAACGCTCCAAGCGTTTCGGCAGGTTGTGGATCGGCTGCCCAATCTCGTCGCCTGAAAACCACCGGAGTCATCTAACACGTGATCTGCTTATCAGAAGCGTTGCCCGCAGTGACCTCTTGAGTGACGCAGCCCATTCCGCGTCCTCCTGAAACAGGACAAACCACTACCATCAGGCATGGGCCGGTTTCTTCTCCTCTGCTCATTGCTCGCCTACCCCGTATCTTCCAGTCAATTGTATTCCCCGCAATTAGCACTGGCTAATATGTACATTAGGTGGATATGTGAAGAGGGTAGCCACATCAGCTAGACGCTTCGTGTCTAGCACGGGCTAATTTGGCTCCAGCGCAACTGTTCTGGTGACCTCAGTGGAGATGAATGTTTTCTCCCAAGCAACATTAAGCATGTGTTGGGACTGTCTATGCATAGCGGCCACTTTTTCTTTTCGCAGTTTAACTAGAACCTCCTACTTTCGCTTTCCGTATCCTGACAGATCTCTTGCTCTGGTGTTTACTGCTTACCAGTGACGCATGCGTTTTAATGTAGTACCACTGTGTCATGTCGGTCAAGCGCTTAAGATATGTATGCAGTTTCCGTTACGGTGACAAAAATACCTATTGTTATTATTTGTTTCCTCGCTCCCAATTGAGCTCATCTATCCGATCATACTTGCATTACATTCGGCTTTAACTAGTTCACTTTTCTCTTGTTTACTGTTCCCACCCACCGCTTTCGAGAAATACTTTTCCGCGATCCCATTCATTGCAACCGAATAGATCTCATTCCCGTGCTCGGAGGGTTTTTTGCCGATCTCACTCTCCATCGCGCTGTCAATTCACGGTGACGTGATGTCTTAATGACATCCACAATCTGTCTTATTCGCCACTACTCTTTTCTTGCTCTCTGGTTAGAGATTTGATGGCTCTAGATTAATAGCTAACTACCTTGTTCTCCCAGCGGTCAGTGGACCACGTTAGCTCAGATAGCGGTAGTTTAGATAACCCCGGCTCTTTGGAATCACCACTTATCTCAAACCCTATGCGTCCTTACCATTAAATAAATAACTTGTTTATTCTCGACAATCCAAGGCACGCCTACACAGACTTTCTGGTCATTGCGCCCTCCGTAGGACAGCCACAGGACGTCTACACCTATACATGGACCATAGGTGGCTTGCGGTGAACCACCCACAGCTCCACCCACATACCCTTTATCCAGTGTGAACTTGGAGGTATATTACCGGGAGGCATGTGGATGGTAACTACGGAGCCGGCTCACACTCCTACCAGACGTGCACAAGGCGGCAGATTCCCTGTACTCCGCTCCACACTAGATGGAACCGCTCCTTGAGCGAAGCAAGGCCACGAGGACTGTGCACCCTACCACTCCAAAAAAGGGTTAGCAGTCTCCTGGAGCTAGCAATGAAGTTGGAGGGTGTTAGACAAATAGTCCTCTTGTCAACATTCACCTGAAGCGCAGCCACACCAGGGTATCAGTGAGTAACCAATTCCTGAAATGCAAGAAACTCAACACTCAGGCGCACGTGCAGACCAAGTGCAACGACGATGCGGCACACGTACCACGTCAGTCGCCTGATTGCCTTAGTATATCGAATGGATGTGGATGCAGCGCATCTGCCAATCGGAACGCTGATTATGCTTAGGTACTCGGTTGACTCGTCGCCTTTCGGATGCTGGCCCCACATGGCAACGCTTGTGGCTAAACGATACGGCTTGACTCAGGCACTCGCAACCGTATTTGCTACAGGGCAATACGCTTGGTGTTGATAGACCAGACTCGATTGGCACCCGTCGCTTTCGTGCCCGACGTTTCGCCTCCGCTTTCTGCTGCACTTGAGAAACCATCCTCTTGATAAACTCACGTCATTGGTACTGATCAACTGCCTTTGATTCCCAACATCAGAAGTTATCACTAGTTCGTGCTGAACTCACCTTGATCATGTCCTGGTGACGTAACTGCGACTTTCTAAACTGCCGCTTCCCTGCTCTAAGTTGTCCATATAGTACCTGCGTCGAATCAGTGCGACGAACGTGCTCGAACCACCTCAGGTGCGTGAGCAGAAGTACACCGTCTACTGCAAACATGCAACTTCGGCGCAGCACTTCAGTGTCTTTAGCTGATGCACATGATCTGACGCAGGCAATGTTCATTGAAGCGCTTCAGATAACGGACATCCTTCCGATATATGGTCCAGGTTTTGCTACCGTATAGAGGAACGCACAATACGATTGACCAGTATACATTCAGCTTCATATCAACAGTAAGCTGGTGATTCCACACAAACGATATTCCAGCGTGGATTCGCAGCTTCGTCATCATCTGCAGTGCACTCAAATGTACGCTACCCAAGTAGCAAAAGCGTTTAGTAGTCTCCTATGTGTTGGTACGAATCCGTATTTCGGGCTGGCCTATGGACTTCTTTTTTATTGACGGCCGAAAAAGACAAACAGTTTTGCTTGAGTTGGTGATCAGCTCGGATTTGATCGCTGTCGAAACGAGAGCCAAAGTCATGTGCCACAATCGTTAGTAAAACAAAACAACATACGGATGGTTGTCTCACGCACTTGGGTTCTCGCTCCGAAACGACGGCTGTTCAGCAACCCACCAACAATTCAGTGATCTACACAGACACCACAATCACAAACAGCATTCAAA